GCAGATACTAAGATTTCACCACCACCAGGCCTGCTTTACAAGAGCTCCTGAAAGAGGCACTAAACATAGAAAGGAACAACCAGTACCAGCCACTCCAAAAACATACCAAATGGTAAAGAGCATCAACACAGTGAAAAAACTGTATCAACTAACGGGCAAAACAGCCAGCTAGCATCAAAATGGCAGGATAAAATTCAAACATAACAATATTTACCCTCAATGTAAATGGGCTAAATGCCCCCATCAAAAGATACAGACTGGCAAATTGGATAAAAAGCCAAAACCCATTGGTGTGCTGTATTGAGGAAACCAGTCTGACATACAAGGACATACATGGGCTCAAAATAAAGGGATGGAGGAAGATTTACAAAGCAAATGGAGAGCAAAAAAAAGCAGGAGTTGCAATTCTCATTTCTGATAAAATAGGCTTTAAACCCACAAAGATCACAAGAGACAAAGAAGGACATTACATAATGGTAAAAGGATCAATGCAACAAGAAGAGCTAATGATCCTAAATATATACGCACCCAATACAGGAGCACCCAGATACATAAGGGATGTCTTAATGACTTACAAAGAGACTTAGACTCCCACACAATAATAGTGGGAGATTTTAACACCCCATTGTCAATATTAGACAGATCAATGAGACAAAAAATTAACAAGGATATCCAGGACTTGAACTCAGACCTGGACCAAGCAACCTAATAGACATTTACAGAAGTCTCCACCCCAAATCCACAGAATATACATTCTTCTCAGCAACACATCATACCTACTCTAAAATTAACCACATAATAGGAAGTAAATCACTCCTCAGCAAATGCAAAAGAATGGAAATCATAGCAAACAGTCTCTCAGACCATAGTACAATCAAGTTAGAGCTCAGAATTCAGAAACTAACTCAGAATCACACAGCTTCATGGAAACTGAACAACTGGCTCTTGAATGTTGACTGGATAAACAATGAAATGAAGGCCAAAATAATGATGTTCTTCGAAACCAACGAGAATGAAGACACAACATACCAGAATCTCTGGGATACATTTAAAGCAGTCTCTAGAGGAAAATACATAGCAATAAATGCCTACATGAGAAGCAAGGAGAGATCTAAAACTGACACCCTATCATCAAAATTGAAAGAGCTAGAGGAGCAAGATCAAAAAAACTCAAAAGCTAGCAGAAGACAAGAAATAACTAAGATCAGAGCAGAACTGAAGGAAATAGAGACACAAAAAAACCTTCAAAAAATCAATAAATCCAGGAGCTGGTTTTTTGAAAAGATCAACAAAATAGACTGTTAGCCAAATTAATAAAAAAGAAAAGAGGGCATAATCAAATAGATGCAATAAAAAATGATAAAGGGGATATCACCACAGATTCCACAGAAGTACAAACCATCATCAGAGATTATTACAAACAACTCTATGCACATAAACTAGTAAACCTGGAAGAAATGGATAAATTCCTGGACACTTGCATCCTCCCAAGCCTAAACCAGGAAGAAGTCGAAACCATGAATAGACCAATAACAAGGTCTGAAGTTGAGGCAGCAATTAAGAGCCTACCACCCAAAAAAAACCCAGGTCCAGATGGGTTCACAGCTGAATTCTACCAGACTTACGAAGAGGAGTTGGTACCATTCCTTCTGAAACTATTCCAAACAATCCAAAAGGAGGGAATCCTTCCCAAATCATTTTATGAGACCAACATCATCCTGATACCAAAACCCGGCAGAGACTCAGCAAGAAAAGAAAACTTCAGGCCAATATCCATGATGAACAGAGATGCAAAAATCTTCCATTAAACACTGGCAAACCAATTGCAACAGTACATCAAAAAGCTTATCCACCATGATCAAGTAGGATTCATCCCAGTGATGCAAGGCTGGTTCAACGTATGCAAGTCTATAAACATAATTCACCACATAAACAGAACCAAAGACAAACACCACATGATTATCTCAACTGATGCAGAGAAGGCCTTTGACAAAATTCAACAGCCCTTTATGCTAAAAACCCTCAATAAACTAGGTATCGACGGAACATATCTCAAAATAATAAAAGCTATTTATGACAAACCAACAGCCAATATCATACTGAATGGGCAAAAACTGGAAGTATTCCCTTTGAAATGTGGCAGTAGGCAAGGATGACCTGTCTCACCACTCCTATTCAATATAGTACTAGAAGTTCTAGCCAGAGCAATCAGGCAAGAAAAATAAATAAAGGGTATTCAAATAGAAAAGGAGGAAGTCAAATTGTCTCTATTTGCAGATGACATGATTGTATATCTAGAAGACCCCATTGTCTCAGCCCAAAATCTCCTGTAACTGATAAGCAACTTCAGCAAAGTCTCAGGATACAAAATCAATTTGCAAAAATCACAAGCATTCCTATACACCATAACAGACTTAAAGAGAGCCAAATCAAGAACATACTACCATTCACAATTGCTGCAAAGGGAATAAAATACCTAGGAATACAACTAACAAGGAATATAAGGACCTCTTCAAGGAGAACTACAAACCACTGCTCAACGAAATAAGAGAGGACACAAACAGATGGGGAAACATTCCATGTTCATGGTTAGGAAGAATCAATATCGTGAAAATGGCCATATTGCCCAGAGTAATTTACAGATTCAACTCTACTCCCATTAGCTACCAATGACCTTCTTCACAGAACTGGAAAAAAACACCTTAAACTTCATATGGAACCAAAAGAGAGCCCACATAGCCAAGTCAATTCTAAGTGAAAAGAACAAAGTGGGAGGCATCACGCTACCTGACTTCAAACTATACTACAAGGCTACAGCAATCAAAACGGCATGGTACTGATCTTAGTTATTTCTCATCTTAGTTATTTCTTGTCTTCTACCAAAACAGGGACATAGACCAATGGAACAGTACAGAGGCCTAGGAGACCACAACACATCTACAACCATCCGATCTTTGACAAACCTGACAAAAACAAGCAATGGGGAAAGGATTCCCTGTTTAATAAATGGTGTAGGGAAAACTGGCTAGCCATGTGCACAAAGCAGAAACTGGACCCCTTCCTGACAGCTTACACTAAAATTAACTCCAGATGGATTAAAGACTTAAACATAGGACCTAACACCATAAAAACCCTAGAAGAAAATCTAGGCAAAACCATTCAGGACATAGGCATAGGCAAGGACTTCATGACCAAAACACCAAAAGCATTGGCAACAAAAGCCAAAATAGACAAATGGGACCTAATCAAACTCCACAGCTTCTGCACAGCAAAAGAAACAGTCATTAGAGTGAATCGGCAACCAACAGAATAGAAAAAATTTTTGCAGTCTACTCATCTGACAAAGGGCTGATATCCAGAATTTACAAAGAACTAAAACAGATTTACAAGAAAAAAACAAACCAGCCCATTCAAAAGTGGGCAAAGTATATGAACAGACACTTTACAAAAGAAGACATACATGAGGGCAACAAACATATGAAAAAATGCTCATCATCACTGGTCATTAGAGAAATGCAAATTAAATCTACATTGAGATACCATCTCACGCCAGTTAGAATGGCGATCATTAAAAAGCTGGAGACAACAGATGCTGGAGAGGATGTGGAGAAATAGGAACACTTTTACACTGTTTGTGGGAGTGTAAATTAGTTCAACCATTGTGGAATGCAGTGTGGCGATTCCTCAAGGACCTAGACATAGAAATTCCATTTGACCCAGCAATCCCATTACTGGGTATATATCCAAAGGATTATAAATCATTCTACTATAAGAAGACATGCACATGAATGTTCATTGCAGCATAGTTTACAATAGCAAAGACCTGGAACCAACCCAAATGCCCATCAATGATAGACTGGACAGGGAAAATGTGGCACATATACACCATGGAATATTATGCACCCATCAAAAACAATGAGTTCGTGTCCTGTGTAGGAGCATGGATGAACCTGGAAACCATCATTCTCAGCAAACTGACACAAGAACATAAAATCAAACATCGCATGTTCTTACTCATAGGTGGGTGTTGAACAATGAGAACACATGGACACAGGGAGGGGAGCATCACATACTGGGGTCTGTCGGGGGGTAATAGGGGAGGGATATTGGGGGGTGGGGAGTTGGTGAGAGATGGCATGGGGAGAAATGCCAGATATAGGTGATGGGGAGGAAGGCAGCAAGTCATACTGCCATGTGTGTACCTATGCAACAATCTTGCATGTTCTTCCCATGTACCCCAAAACCTAAAATGCAGTAAAACAAAAAAGTAAGACTTGTTGAAATTCAGCTTTATTCTGTTATATCTGCAGACAAAGACATTGAAGGACTGTTTTTGTTAGGGAAAGACTCGCTGCTGTAACAAATCCCCAGCTTTCAGTGGCTTAATACAATAAGCAGCACATTTCTTGTTCATATAACAGTCCAAGGCTAAGGATCCTGGCTGGCATATGGCATTTCCCACACAGTTATTCAGTAGCTTTGCTATCCACTTGGGCCTTGTTGTGCATCCTTCCAGCTGGTAGAAAGAAGGAGAAATTATGGAGAAGTCACAGTTGCTTCTTAAATCATGGCATGGAATTGGCACACATTACTTCCGTCTACATTCCGTTGGTGAGAACCAGGGACATAGGTAATACTAAGATGCAAGAAATTCTGGGAAATATATTCCTGGTTGGACTGCTGTTTCCCAGTTAAGAAACCTATACAATGCAAAGAGGAGCACGGAGTTTTGTAGACAGATAGCTTCCTTGGCTGCAGGGACTGTATCACAGATATGGGAAAAACACAAAGGTCACACATAAAAATTAGTCACTATTTTATAGCCACCTTCAAATATATGAGCATGTCTATACAGAAGGAAAGAAAATACTTCTGTTTGACACTTTGCATTCATTTTGGATATTATATGGTTGGTGAGATCCTTTTAATACTATCAAGAATGTTGCATTCCTTATTCATAGTGTATGAAAAACTGAGACTTTTCTTTTCTTGTTTTTAAGGTTGGACGAAATTTGCCCGATTGACACGGGCTTTGACAAATAGCCGAAGTGTTTTGCAGCAGCTCACACCAATGAATAAAACTGAGGTGGTTCACAAACATTCAAGATTAGCTGAAGTAAGTATGAGATGGACTTTGCTTCCCAAGACGGTGGTGTTGGTACATTTTTCTTCCACAAAATGATTTAATATAGATATATCTGGCTATGATCTTATGAATACTTAGGTGATAATTTATGTTTCCTTTGTAGAAATATAGAAATCCCAAATATTTCTGTTTATTCTCTCCAACATTTGAAATGAGAATACAGCTTTTGACATCGCAGGTCATGTCTGTAGAGTGTAAGGTTTTCTTTGAGCATATGAGATAGAGAGTTCATTCATTCTTCATGCATATATGCAGCAAACACGTATTGAGGGTGTGGTCTGTGCTTGGCATTCTGCAAAGGATGTAAAGATAAGTAAGAAATGGGCTCTGTCTTCAAGGGGTTAAATATCCAACAGAGGAAACTGATCATAGGATGTGAAAAATACTATGACAGGGTGCAGTGGGAGCCCATGCAGGAGAATTTGCCCAAACATGGGGCCCTAGTGAAGGCTGCCTGAGTGAGATGATACCTGGGCTGAGTGAATCTTGAAGGGAAGACGTAAGCGTTAGTCAGATAAAGAAGGGATGTAGTTTATTCCTACCAGGGAGGCCAGCATGTACAAAGGCTCAGAGAAGAGGTGGTATGATGATGTCGAGTATGACTTTAGTGTAGTTGAATTCAGATGGGGAAGGAGAAAGTAGGGTGGCATGTAGTGAAATGGTGGTGGTTGGTGTCTCATGTGCCAGGAAAATGACCTTTGTGCCTCAAAATAATCTCTCAAAGGGAGGTGGGTCCTAATTGGTTTCTTGTGAAATTCCATGTTTTTATTGTTTTATTTTATTGTGTTTATTAACACAATAAGAACAGTTATTCGTAGTTTTTACCAGATTGCCATAGGATTCCAAGGCACAAAATGATTAGAAACTCCTGCTTGACCTAGTGGCTCTGTGGAGAATGGGTAGGTAGGGAAACCCGTCAGGAAGCCCTAGAGGTAAGTCAGTTAGAATGACCATGGTTGCCAGCAAGATAGTGGTAGCAGAAGTGGGATTGCAGACACATTAAGATTAGAGTGAACACATTTGTTGATACATTAGAATAGTGTGTGAAACAGGGGTTGAGTCCAGGCCAGTTCTATGTGTTTGATTTAGATGACAGGGTAGGTAGTACTGTTGGTTAATAAAATGACAACTATAAGAGGAAGGAAAGATTTGACGACAATGACTATGAGTTTGGTTTTTGATATACGAAGTTTGAAGAGCCCTGTAGGAGGTCCTAGTGCAGATGCCTGAACAGCAGGGAGACTTATGGGTCTGGCACTCTGGAATGATATTTTAGTTTGAGTTTTAGGCTTCAGTGTCATCCTCACATTTATGGCTGCGCAAGTCATCTGACTAGATGATGTTACCCTGAGACTGAGGAGAAAAAAATGAGGACAGAACTCTGAGGCCACTAATAGCTTTATTGTTCACATGTCTTCTGTAACCGTAATTTTCTATAACCGTAATTTGTATTACTCATGTAAAAGATGCCAAAAAGCTCTTCAAGCCACGAAAACTATACTGAGCATGACGGTTGTACTCACAAAGTATTCTCAGGTAACTTTTACCAAAAGAGAGAAAGATAAAATAAAATCCAAATGCTTGTCATTTTCTCTGCTGCAGAAAAGTGAGTTGAGGCACTTCAGAGTAACTTTCTTAAACTCATTGTAAATATTGAATCTGGTTTGAGGAGATTAAGAAGTAAAGTATGTTCCCTGAATTTGGAAGACTATGATGTTTTTCTTAGACCATGGCTAACAAAAAGACTTTTGGTTTTCTGCTTTAAATAGCACTGTTAGCTTGGGGAAGGATGAATCCTTTAACGTACAGACATGTTTCTGAAGACCAAAATAAGACACTAATATAACTAAATATTAGTTAGTAATAATAACCACAATATTTAAAAGTCATATGCAGTTAGTACAAGATTTAAAGCAGACAATGAGATACATGTTTCTTTTACAAAAATGCTTAAATTTTGGAGCTATTTCTCTTTTGCCTAGAGTTGCCATTTTCTTTCTGTAAATCAAGCTGAAATTTAGAAGCTTATTTCTGTGATTGTTGAATTTTATAGTCATGATTCCTTTGGGGTCTCAACCACACCCTATTCAGGGTTTTTCTTTTGTCTGTTACACAATAGAGCGAGAACAAGTAGAAGGGGACCGTAGAGAGGAAAATCTTCTTTTTCCAGAGTCACTCAGGATTGTTTTTTCTCTATGTCAGGGGAAAAGAAAGAAACTTTCCCCTTGACATTTTCTCATTTTTATTTTTGAGAAACTAATTCCTATTTCATCCCATCTGTTTTTTTATTTTTATTTTTATTTTTTTACTTTGCTCTGTGATTAGTGTTAGTTTATCAGTCATCCCTTATTCGTAAACCTGATTCTGATATAAAACTGCTTTCTGTCAGATCTTAGGGTCGATTTCAGAGAGCATACAGAAATAATAACAAGATTGTCAATAGAGATTTAGTCTAGTACCTGTAGTGCATGCTCTTAGATCTCCAAATATAGACATAAAAGAAATACCAAATAAGTACAATATTATTTTTCCAGTGGTACTCAAAACTCACATAATTTACTCAACACAAGTATTTGGTTTTGCTAGGGAATTTTAGGCTCTTTCACTTTTTCAAAGACAGATAAATTTAATCTCCATTCTACCTGATCCCCCAAATTTGGAGCTGATCCCCAGTTTCAAAGTTTCCAGTTTCCACATAGGTAGTTAATTAATTTTCCACATGCATTGACACCCTGCTGATTGCCTTCAGCTTGTTCACTTTTATGTTGTGTAGAGATAAATATATGCACCCGGCCACATCAGTCAGTGGGCCTGACTTTGTTGGAGTCAGTGCTCTTAGATCTTCAGAGAGGAAGAATGTGTCTGTATTGGTACAAAAATACATCAAAAATGTGATTTCATCCTCTGTCCACCAAAGGCTTATTGCTTATAAAAGCGCACATGAAATAACAATGAAAGTGAAGAGTCTGTTACTCACTGTTTTATAAAAGAGCCCAGGGATAGAGTGAAGATTAAGGTAGTGCTTTGCGTATGAAAAAGATCAAACCCAAACACTTATGCACTATTTTTTGTTGTTGTTGCCATTTTCCTCTTCTTCCTCCTCCTTGTCCTCTTCTACCGTTTCCTCCTCCTCTTCTTATTTCTCCTTCTTGTCCTCATCTTGCATTTGTTGGAGGGCTTTACATATGCAAATCACTGTCTAGAGAATTGTGACCTGATGTCTAAAGAAATGTAAGACAGAGATCTTACCTTGGGCTGTACATTGTAATCACCTGGGAATATTTGAAAATATAGATTCTCTGACAACCCAAACGAGACTAATTTAATCATTCTCCAGGGTGGGGTCTAGGTATAAGTATACTGTATTCTTTTAAAACTTCCACAGATGATTCTGATCTATAGCCAGGTTTAAGAAGTTCTGAACTCAGGGTGATACCATTCCATCATTAGAGGAGACCTGCATTAATCTGGGGTACTGAGCAGGGCTGACATCTGTTAGCGTGGTAGGCACAGTGTCCACACAGGCCCCACTACACTTTTACAGGCCCACAAGATACAATTTCTATTAACACCAGAAGAAAAAAGGGTAACTTTTAGGTAAAAACAAGCATTGAATGTGTGATATTAATATATTTATCTTTGTAGCAGTGCTGTTATTTATATATATATATAAAATATATATTATTTATATATTATATATATTATAATATATATGTTATTTTATATATATATATTATATATATAAAATAACAGCACTGCTATGAAGCGTGTGTGTGTGTATGTGTGTGGGTGTATATATATATACATATATATATATATATATATATATATACACACTTTTTTTTTCCCTGAGATGGCGTCTTGCTCTGTCGCCCAGTCTGGAGTGCAGTGAGTGGTGCGATCTCAGCTCACTACAATCTCCACCTCCCAAGTTCAAGCGATTCTTCTGCCTCAGCCTCTTGAGTAGCTGGGACTACAGGTACCTGCCACCATGCCTGGCTAATTTTTTTGTATTTTTAGGGTAGATGGGGTTTCACCATGTTGGTCAGGCTGGTCTTAAACTCCTGACCTCAAGTGATTTGCCTGTCTTGGCCTCCCAAAATGCTGGGATGACAGGTGTGAGCCATTGCACCTGGCTTTTTTTAAAATTTACTTTTTTAATGGGAGGAAGGAGTTCAGGAAGGCACAAAGGCTCAGGGTCCACGAAGGTGGTAGTGTACCCCGGCACTGAGTTTGTTCTTATTTCCCAAGTTTGATTTGTGCTTAAACATAAACTGTGTATATATAAATGGTAAAATACTAACATTGAGTGTGAAGGCAATTTTCATGTTTAAAACAGTGAAATTGGAACTGACAGGCTAGTGGTTGAAAGACAAAAGAAAAGTCATAATTATGTACAATTGTATATATGTAATACTTCATCCCAACATGAAGCCTATGCTCCTGTAGGATAATTTGCTGTTAAGCAATTTAAGACATTATGGGAAAAATATAATTAAGGTGCTAATAATGGCAAATACGTAAAATATCTTTACAAATATTCTTATAATCCACAAAATAAAAATAACAATTCTAACATACAATTAAAGAGACCACCAATGATGTTTTCCACATCAAAAATAGTGACAATGGATATTATATTCCTAGTTTTCAGATATGTAAGTTCTATATATGAAAGGAACTTTAGGATATTCTCCCAAGCTTCTAAAGATGCTAGTATATTTGTTTTGCTTTGTGGCATATATTATAACTCAGAGTTACATGTTAACAAGTATTTTTATTTTTATTCACTTCTACATATAAATAGGTAATGCATTTATGATTTTATGATTTGGACTTTTGGACTCCTACCTTCTGGGTTCCATTAGTCCTAGAGACACTGAATAATTGAATCCTACGTTGGGCAAAGGTGTTGGAAACATTAAAAATTTTCCATTTACCAAGTTCTTTAACACATACATTTTCTTTGGTTTCATTGATGGCATGGGACAGAAGTTTTTGATTTGCCCCTTCAACGGTGTTTTAGAATTCTCAATTTCCAGATTCCAGAAGGCAGTGCTGTGTCCCATGTTTGTTGCCTTTGCCCAGGGATACACAAACCTCTACTCTTGTTCTGTCATCTGCTTTTTATCTTTGTTTTCTATTAAAATTAGACCTAATTAGAGTAATTCAAAGTTCATACAACCTTATACTGAAATTTTTCCATTTGTCAAATAGGTATACAGAAACAAACTTGAATATTTAGTATTTTTTACCCCTAAGGGAAATTTACATTTGGGCAAGAAACACAATATTCTTTAAGTCCAGATAGAAGGGAGAAAGGAAAAAAGCAGGCAATACTCTTTACAACCCTTTCTACTGCTGAATCAGGGACACTGCTGAATATCACCCAACAACAACATCACCAACAGTGGGATGCCGGAGTTCAGCAAGGCCATCAGAATCAAAATTATGCTTCCTGAGGTGCTAAATATGTATGAAGAGTAGATAACGGTGTGTCACTCAAATAACTGCTGGATAGTCCATGAGAGACATGTGATTGTAGGCAGGCTTGCAGAATGAGCGTGCAGGAGGCACTTGCAGACATGGACATCCAGCAGTGTAGTGGATCAGTGTTGGTTAATGCGTCATAGCAGGCCAGATGGAACAGCAGACAGATCAGCTTTGGTGGAGTGATTGGACTTGGAATGTCTTCCTCTGAACAAATTTTGGGACAGCTCAGGAGAAGAGGGAGGCAAAACTATGGAGCATGACTGGATGTGGTTTGACTGCCAGTAAATTTGAATTCATCACTGACTGGGCAGCGATAACCTAGCCATTTATAAACACATTTTCTCTCTTTTAGGTTCTTCAGCTGGGATCAGATATCCTTCCTCAGTATAAACAAGAAGCGCCAAAGACGCCACCACACATTATTTTACATTATTGTGCTTTTAAAACTACTTGGGATTGGGTGATTTTAATTCTTACCTTCTACACCGCCATTATGGTTCCTTATAACGTTTCCTTCAAAACGAAGCAGAACAACATAGCCTGGCTGGTACTGGATAGTGTGGTGGATGTTATTTTTCTGGTTGACATCGTTTTAAATTTTCACACGACTTTCGTGGGGCCCGGTGGAGAGGTCATTTCTGACCCTAAGCTCATAAGGATGAACTATCTGAAAACTTGGTTTGTGATCGATCTGCTGTCTTGTTTACCTTATGACATCATCAATGCCTTTGAAAATGTGGATGAGGTAAGTTTTTTGTTTTGATTTGCTGAGTACTATGGGTCATATGTTTTGAAAACATCAGGATAAATGGATTCCACAGATAATCCAAACCCCTTTTTAGCCACCACTTTCAACTTTCTTGAAACCCTTGACAAAAAGTATTGTATTTGATCACTTTAAATTAGTTATTATCTATTTCTTTTCCTTGATATCTGGTTGAAAGTGCTAATTACTAGAAATTGGAGGTTGTGGATGGAAGAAGTGGAGGAGAAGAAAAGTGGCTTGTATTTGAAGTCAGATATGGTTCACAAACCAGATAATTGATTGAAATAAGATATTAGGTTGGTGTAAAAGTAGTTGTAGTTTTCTTAGTTACTTTTAATGGCAAAACCCACGTTTACTTTTATAACAACCTAATAAGTAGATGCATTTTCTTTGAAAAGCTGCAGCATTTAAAAATTCTGCGCATTCACAGATCTTTGGACTCCTCCTCTCAAGACACATGTGATAACAGTGATAGAGTTAACATAAAGATAAGACATTTTCATGAAAGAGCAATTCTTGAATGTTTGCCACTTTGGTTTTTTCCTCATAGCTTTTGCTTTACATTTTGTCTGAATATATTTGTGGGTATTGGATGACATATGAGTCCATTTTCACACTGCTATAAAGAGACAACCTGAGACTGGGCAATTTATAAATGGAAGAGATTTAATTGACTCACAGTTCTACATGTCTGGAGAGGCCTCAGGAAGCTTATGGTCGTGGCAGAAGGTGAAGGGGAAGCAAAGACTTTCGTCACATGGTGGCAGGAGAGAAAAAGGAGCACAGGGGAAACTGCCACCTTTAAAACCACCAGAACTCCCTCACTATCGTGGGAACAGCATGGGGAAAACTGCCCGCAGGGTCTCATCACCTCCCACCAGGTCCCTCCCTTGACATGTGGGGATTACAATTCAAGATGAGATTTGGGTGGAGACACAGAGCCAAATCATATCAGATGGCTTCTGATGTCTGGTCTAATTTAAGACTCTGCTTCTTCAGTGTTATCTGTGCACCTAGAAGTACTTAAAACATGTAAAAGCTTAAAAAACCACTTCATCCACAGCTTCTCAGCCTCTAACTTAATAGTGGATGATATTTAAATTGTCACACCAGGCTAATAGGCTATAACCAGTAATTTCAATTCATAATATATAAATGAGTCAGTATAGAATATATCTATTATGAAAATGTATTCATAATGATAATGTTACTAACTCAATCGCCCTATGATGTTCCTATCGTTTCTACTCTGTAAACTGCTCAGATGGAAAATTCTCCATTATGTTGTTATTGTTGCTGCTGTTACTCCATGTGTATTGGGAGATAGATTGAAGCTTTTCTTAAGAAGCCTTTTCCATAAAGTACTTACATTTAATCAACTGTAATAATGCTATAAATATTATTTCCCCCAAAGTTAAGTATAGGCATTGTATTTTGATATAGTACATGTAATTGTTACTTTATAAATTATGGGAAAAAAGAAATCATGGTAATTTATTTTCCAAGTTTTGATTCCATCTGTATCAAGCTTTCAGAGATTTATTTTTTTTTTCAAATTTATCTTCTGGAGTGAGTTCAAGGAGTTAATTTTGAAAATAAAAATCACATGATATTTGTATTTTCAAAATTAAGCAGTATTTATATTTTGCACACTACACAGATGATTACATGAGTACATTGAGATTTTGGTTATTTAGAACCTAAGCCTAAAGATTTTAATAAAAACAATCACTCATGTGGAATCTAGAAAAGTTCATCTCATAGAGAGTAGAATGATGATTACCAGGGGTGGAGTGAGTGGGGAGACGGACAAAGAATACAAAATTCAGTTAGATGGAACTAAATCCAAGAAATCTATTATACAACATGGTGACTATAGTTGATAATATGCTGCATTCTGGAAAAATGCTAAGAAATTGGGTGTGAAGTGTTCTCACTGCAGAAATGATAACTATGTGAAGAAACACGTATGTTAACTAGCTAGATTTAGTCATTCCACAATGCATACATGCTTAAAAATGACACGTTGTACATAGTAAATACATGCAATTATTTCTGTCAATTAAAAATAATCAAAAGATTGGCTTGATTAGTATTACAGTAAATACATTGCATAATAAATACATTTATAATAGTGTATAATACTGCAATTATATAAAAAGATTCTCAACTTTGCTCATATTCAAGAAATGCAAAGTAAATCTACACTAAATACTATTTTCATTTATCACGTTGCAAAGATCAAAGCTATGTTAGAACACTAGGCTGTTGAGTGTAGGAGCCAAGTAGGTGAACTGCTGAAATCTCCTTTTATAAACATTGGCTATGTGGCGCACAGTCAGCAGCACCCTTGGTCGGGTTCCTGGCTTTAGAAAGCCTGCTGTTGGCATCTCTTCCCAAGTCAGCATTTAGTGATCTCACAGTGGTAGCTTGAAATTAGCCACAGTGGGAGTATTTACACTATAGTAAGTAACAAAAGCTGCAAATTAAGTCCTTTTTAAAAAGCTTTCTGTAGAGCCAGTTGTTAATCATTTTCTAATGCGTCACTGAACACAGTTAACTGAAGACTGCTGCCTTTTCTGATCTGCTGCAGCCCACATATTGAAGCTGGGCTCACACATTTCCCCAGGGCTGGTCCCAGGCAATGTCTGAGTATGGTGGGAATACTATAACTTGCCCATACCTGCCACTTTTGCTCTGGGACTGTCTATTTACTGTGTAAAAGCATAAGCTACCTCTGCCTACCTGAGTCTTCCTCCCCTCTTTCACAGGTGTTAGACCTGCATTATAGTCCAAAGGCTCTTCCTGTTCCTCTGCTCCCCACATTGTCCTTCCCAGACATCTACCTCAGTGAAATTCTTGTGTAAATAACCCTGGCGTGGCTTCTACTCCTTACAGGACCTCAGTTGATCCAGTGGGATGTGGCACGTCACTCTCGTATACTGCTCAGGGGAGAATGAATTGGTAAAATCTCTGTAAAGAAAGGTTGGCAATATCTCATTCTAAAAAAGAGAAGACCCTGCAGGCAACCACTTTCAAATTTTTCAGGGGATTCTTTTATTATTTGCTTCCATGTCACCAAACAACACGATTATATAACTACCTCTTTGTCAGTCTTAGGTTTTGTCTTTGACTTCTCACTATGAAAGGTGAGATTTTAGCTTCCCTTTCTACTTTCTCTCACTACTTTCAGGCACCATTTTTATCACTTCATTCTTACAATATATCATCCCTTTGATTCAATAAATATTAAGTGTTGATGTTTTTATTATTAATTTTTTTTTTTTTTTTTTTTTTTTTTTTTTTTTT